TGTTCAAGATATACACGTCAATATATGGACTGCACATTTTTAACATTTTAGCTGATACGTTGTCACAGCCATAGGCATTAATTTTAATATTATTTAGAATTTTATGGATATCTTCGACTGAAGCTATTGAATATTGAAAACGAAAACGTGAGATTTTGATTGAACAGATGGTTGTTATAAAAGTTGATCTGATTATTGTATTTTGCAGAAACTTTTTGAAAAAATGGAGAGAAATAATTATTGATTACTTCTGCAGAGAAACAAAGAGCTGTTTTTTTTATGTGTAGATTTTCCAGAGTTTTCCAGATCTTTTTCGAGTCGTTCTCAGTAGAGATATTTTTTAGATAGTTTTTTTTTTGCAGTCCTGATAAGTTGAAGGGTTTGGTTGCGCAAGTTTTTATATGTAATCCAATCTAGTGCAAGTTTGGGCGTTTATCTTTCTGTAAGGCCTTATTTCTGCTTTTTTGCGCAGTTTTAATTTCGTAGTTTAGCCAAGGAGCTTTGGGCTCTGTAATTCTATATTCGCGAATTGCAGCGTGCTTGTCAAAAACACTTAAGAGCAGCGAGTTAATTATATCAAGCTTTTTATCGATGTTTCTTTCATGAAATATTTGTTGAAAATTTAGAGAAGCGAGATCCGTGTAGAAGTCATTAAAATTGAGATTACAAAGACACCAGTTTTCGAGTTTTAGTTAAAAACCTGAGAAAAGTGCCGAAAATTTAGAGTTTTTCGCAATTTTCGTTGTGAAGCCGACGCCTGGCGTATTGGCAAACCTCAGATTCGGATTCAGCACAAAAAAAACGTCTACATTTTTTTCCTGGAAACGCGGTTTCTGCACCTTGGATGACTGAAACTATTATTCTAGCATTAAAGAATGGAGGCTTTCACGGCCGGTCAAATCTAGTAAAAACGTTTTTTCCGGGCTATAATGCCGTGGTCCATTAGTATTTCTACTAACGTTTCGTCTACTGCTGCGGTAGACATCTTCAGAGAAGGTGTGGTAGAGGACGAAGTGTTCTCTTCCGTGTTCTTCCGATGACTGGATTCGACGTTGCTGGACCTGCGTTATTTATATCCAGGGTTGTGGGCGTGGCTTGTATTACGCTATTTTCCTTGTCTCGTTCTCGGATAGGAAGGGTCTTCGTTTTTCGGAGAACTGGCAACCAGCTTTTGTTGAGGTTCATGCCCTCTTCTCTTCTGTTGAAGCTGTTGTGGTGTTTCTGTATCTCTGTGGCTTCTCTGTGGAGTCTGGTGTAAAAATGTTTGGTTCTATCCAATGCTTGAGTCTGGTCGAAACGAATGACATGGTTTGTTTGTGTAAGCACGTGTTCGGCGATTGCTGATCTATCTATTTGATCCTGCTGACAGTTTCCTCTGTGCTCTTTGACCCTGGTGTTGATAGAGCGTTTGGTTGTTCCTACATAGACAGATCCACAAGAGCAGGGAATTCTATAGACGCCAGCCGTTTCAAGAGGTGCCCTAGGATCCTTGGCCGATCTTAGGCTTTGCTGAATTGTTCTTGTGGGCTTGTAGATAGGCTTAACGTTGTGTCTTTCTAGCGTTCGTACTATGCGATCTGTGATATTTTTGATATAAGGAAGAAAGGCTCTGCCTGCCACCTGTGCTGGTTCCTAGTTATTTGTGCGCTGTTGCTTCGGTCTTATGACTCTATTTATCTACGACTTGCGAAACCTCCAAAGTTCAACCTGACATACGAGAAGAGGAAAGCTATTCGCAGCCTGAATACAGACAAGAACATACTAGTCCTGCCTGCGGATAAAGGAAACGCAACGATAATCATGAACGTGACTGACTATGAATCAAAAATTTCCGAACTGCTAGACCCCTCCACCTACAGAAAGCTGAAGCGCAATCCTACTGCTTCTATATTGCGAAAAACGAATCAACTCATCCGAACACTACCGTTGGACTCGGAAAACATAAGGAAACTCATCAAATCAAATCTGAGGCCTTACCACCTAGAATATATGGGCTTCCTAAAGATTCTCGAAACAGGCAACCCACTCAGGCCCACTGTAAGTGCAATAGATTCGCCCACATACAGCATAGCCAAATACTTCACCACCCTCCTTCAGCCACGGATTGGCCAATCCAGCTCTTATGTTAAAGACTCAACTCATTTCATCAAAAAGATCAGTGACATCACTCTACTACCAAACGACATTCTGGTTAGTTTTGATGTCGTCTCATTGTTTACTAAGGTACTAGTGAATTAGGCCTTAGAGCATTTAAAATATGTTTTCCCGGAGAAAATCAACAACTTATTTCACCACTGTCTGACGACTACGTACTTTCAATGGCAAAATGAATTCATCGAGCAGACAGATGGAGTCGCAATGAGGAGTCCACTCAGCCCGGTTATCGCCAACTTCTACATGGAACACTTCGAACAAATGGCACTACGAACGGCCACAAAGAAACCTTCTTGTTGGTTTTGCTATGTAGATGACACATTTGTTGTTTGGAACCATATGGAGAGGCAGAGCTCGAAAACTTCCTTAATCATCTAAACGCAATAGAACCCAGGATACAGTTTACGATGGAAGTTGAGAAGGACAACAAAATTGCATTTCTCGACGTCCTCTTAGAAAGATTACCCTCAGGTAAACTCGGACACAGAGTATATAGGAAGCCAACGCATACGGACAGATACCTCAACAAGGAATCCAATCACCATCCTAGGCAAAAGAGAGGAGTCATTAAAACTCTATCTGACAGGACAATCCGGATTTGTGAACCCAGATATCTTCAGGACGAGATGCAACACCTAAAATCAGCACTTGAAGGAAATGGGTACTCCAAGCAGGAAATAAATAGAGCCATAAGACCGAAGCAACAGCGCACAAATAACAAGGAACTAGCACAGGTGGCAGGGAGAGCCTTTCTTCCCTATATCAAAAATGTCACAAATCGCATAGGACGAACGCTAGAAATACACAACGTTAAGCCTATCTACAAGCCCACAAGAACAATTCAGCAAAGTCTAAGGACTAAGATCGGCCAAGGATCCTAGGGCACCTCTTGAAACGGCTGGCGTCTATAGAATTCCCTGCTCTTGTGTATCTGTTGATGTACGAACAACCAAACGCTCTATCAACACCAGGGTCAAAGAGCACAAAAGAAACTGTCAGCAGGCACAAATAGATAGATCAGCAATCGCCGAACACGTGCTCACACATTTCATTCGTTTCGACCAGACTCAAGCATTGGAAGAACCAAATATTTTTACACCAGACTCCACAGAGAAGTCATAGAGATACAGAAACAGCACAACAACTTCAACAGAAAAGAAGAGGGCATGAACCTCAACAAAATCTGGTTGCCAGTTCTCCGAAGAACAAAGACCCTTCCTTTCCAAGAACGAAACAAGGAAAATAGCGTAATACAAGCCACGCCCACAACCCTAGATATAAATAAAGCAGGTCCAGCAAAGTCGAATGCAGTCATCGGAGGAACACGAAAAAGAACACTTCGTCCTCTACCACACCTTCTCTGAAGATGTCTACCGCAGCAGTAGACGAAACGTTAGGTAGAAATACTAATATGGACCACGACATTATAGCCCGGAAAAAAACTTTTTTACTATTATTAGATTATTGGCCAAGTTAGTAAAAAAAAATTAAAACTATCAGCTGATATTTTAGGAGATGTTCGATCTTTAATGCATGACCCACGATGTTTGTTGGTAATGTTCCACATAGTTTTTGATGGATTTCTTGCAGAATTTATGGCCCTGTCGTTCGCACTCACCTTTGCTCTGTTTATTGATTTCTTTTAGGTTTTCTTAAATTTCCTATACTCCTGTATATTTCCAGGGTAATTAAACTGCCTACTTATTTCTCCCAGAAATTTGAGTTCTGTGTGTTCCCTCATTTCCCTTAAATCATCATTAAACCAGGAGGTGTTACCTGGCTGACCTGAACGTACGTACACTAATTTGTTTTATGGGAAACGCCCTCTTATAAGAGGATTCCATGATTTGAATAAATTGAGAAAATTTTTGATTTACATTGGAGTTAGGATCGGTCAAGTCAAAAGATGAGCCGTCTATGAAATTATAAAACAGTACCATGCCTCGGTGTGTAATTGGCCTACATAGCCTGCTTTCCTGAATAAAACTTGATTTTTTATTCATTATCCCCTTAGTACCAAACTGAATAAGTTGTGAGGCATGATCAGAGAAATCAGTTTCGACTTTCCTAGCAATCCTAGCAGACACCTGTTCTAAAGAAAAATTTTAAAATAAGTTGTCTATACAAGAATTTACCCTAGTTGGCCCATCTATAGTCTTTGAGAAACCGAAACCACCAAGCATGAAGTTCCCAGCCAGCACCAGGTTTTTCTTCATACCCCAGCCATTAAGGAGATCCTCCAGAACAGTTGAAAAGGTGTCAAACCTATCAGACGGAGACCTATAAACAGAAAGATGAGATTCGGCGCATTATTCGTGAGATACCACCGGAAATGTGCACAGATGTGATCGAAAATTTTGGCAAAAGAATTGTGTGCTGTGAGAGAACTCGCGGTGGCCATTTGTTAGATAATATTGTGTTTCACGTTTAATTGTAAACGATCATGTTACTTATTGCTAGTATTAAATGTTTCCTAGATTGCTTTTCGTTTGCAGTGAAAAAAACATCTGGAAAAACCTATTGGAACACCCATTATATTATAATCCAAAATAGCTATTTTTGTAACAAGTACTTAAAATAGGGTTTTTAGGACGAATATTTCCTACGCTCCCTAAGCTTTTTATGATATGAGCAGTTCACAGCTTTTGTCTACTTCATTATTTTTCTATTTTTCTGTGAAGCCTTGGGGGGGCCTTGGCCTCCCCCTGGCTGCGCCCCTGAAACAAATACATGTATCAATAATTCGTCGAAATATTTCGGTGTCATTTCCGATCTGTCTTAACTGAATTCTGAATTCATCATTTAATGATAATACAGATTGAATTTACTATTTGATTTTCTTTCAGGTTGCTCAAAAGACAAAAGACATCCTACGCAACAAGAACGTCTGGGACAAAAAAGCCAAAGAAATGTTCAGCCTCGGGTGGGACAATGGAGGTGACACAGGTATGGACAAAGACCCCAGCGACAATCCGAACTTGACGTGATAAAGGGACACTTGGGCATTTTAGTTTTTTAAGTGTACAGTGGCCGAACTTGTATTAATAATTTATTTTGACGAATTCGTATTTATACATAGTTAAATTTGACTGCGGGACTTCAACTATACTTTTTTGGTTGTTGGGGATTATTTGAAAGAACTATACTTTTTTATGTGTTTTTTTTTATTGACGTTTCAATCATACTCTCGACCTTCCTTGGAATTCTTTCAAACCACTGTTATGGCATAAAATGCCTACAGAATGCTTATTTAAAAATGCAGTGCGTTGCATTTTATCAGTTTTTGGAAAAATGTTAATTACACTACAAAAAAGTTAAAAATAACCTAATCGGATAAAACAAACTACCATATTTTATTTTTGTAATTGACACATTTCTGAAAATTATATAGACAAAATAGAATCCTCTGGAATGGCATCCTATCGATATAAAGTCTGTTCAGGGTAGCTAAGTCGGGATTTTGAGCCTTCGTTAGGTAATTGTAGACATTTTATTTCATAACAACTAGAAATTCTGACAAAGATCGAAAATCTGACTGAAACATTATCAAAACATGACATGGATATGTAGATCTTTTGAGTATTGCACAAAAGCTAGGTATAATCCCCAAGAAACCTTCAACTTAGAAAATATATAAACATATATACAGGGTATTTGTCTTTGATTATTTATTTTGTTTAGGGTCGGTTTATTCACCTTCTTATAAACTGTCTGGTATGCAATCGGCCAGTTATCCGCCGATCAATGGAATTATAGAACAGTAAATTTATCTTGCAGATAGTTTATCTGAAGATAAATAAACCAAGCCTAAGACATATTTTTTTTTCGTAATTTAGTTAAAATTTGAATGTTAGGTAGAAATATTTTCTTAAACATTTATGAAAGTTTGGCTACTGTATTTGGACCATTTGACTAAAAATATCATCTAAATATTTATAAATAGGTTTTATGAGGTAATGTTGTGTTTAATAAAAAAATATACCTACTGATGTATGTTTTATTGTCTTATTTCAAAAATTCGTAGGTTCACCAAAAAGTGTCTTGCATGCCCTATTACGTTCTGACAAATATTCATTTTGGTGGAATCAATTCCTTCAAGCGACCTAATGCGCGTTAAGATATTTTTAAGGCGAGAAAGTAGGGACCTTGGGAAAAATGTCATTTTAGTATTTCTGATTTCAGCACCTCTTCTAAGTTTGAGGATTCCATCGCCTTCTCAGCCAACATTTGAGGGCTCCGTCTAGATTTGAAACATATCCATCCATACAATAATAAGCTGTGTCCATACCCGCCACACGTGTCCACTGTTATTGCTTTTCGACAGATATGATTCTGGGAGCTGCACTTCTACTAGACAACATCCGCCTTACTGTGTTGAACAATTGCAGTTCTCCTGCAGAAATGTCAGGTTTCAGTCACATTTTAAATGTTCTCTTCTGTTGCATCAGTAACATTCGATTCTCCCTTCTAATCTATAGGTTCCTTTTATTACTTCTGGTACTAGAATTTTCATCATTGAGTCTAGATAATTTCTCCTATTGGTTATTTTTCTTCTTGCATTGACACAGCTCTGATCTTTGATTTTTATATCTTATAGGCCATTCCGATATCTAGGGCTTTGATTACAGCTTCGCTACTACTTGATGGTTTGGGTTAGTTTGGATTAGCATTCTCTGTACATTCATCTCTTATTCTATTTATGAAATGATTTGTTATTTTACATTTGTTTGAGTGCGCTCTTCATTTTTTAGTTTAATTTGTAATTGGCTGGAAATCCCTTTATTCCCTTTGATGGTTTTTATCTGTATCATTTCCTTTGAATCATCAGTTTCCACTCCGTGTTCGTTTTCTATACTAACTAACTATTAATTTTGCATTTTTGAGCTATGTTTTCGAATATTTTTTGATATATAAAATTATCTTACTCACTTATCGGAGTGAAATAGCAACTATTTTATTACGGTTGCATCGTTTTCGTATGCATATTGAGTGGGATGATGTCAGGTTCTCACATATGGATTATAGCCTTTAGAATCCATAGAGATTTTAGGCCAAGTAGCATATATCACTAGCCTTATACTTTTTTTTGTCAGTACCTATAGCATTTTCTCTTACATGGTAGGTAATAAGAATATATACATTCAAATTGATTAATGATTATATTAAGGGATATCAAAATCGCTTGAAAATTATTTTAATTTCTTTATGTGACACAGCATTCAATACAATCAATTAAATACAATTTTGAATTACCAAACTTAATAAGCTTTACAGATAAATTTCACAAAGTCCACACATAATAATTATTTTCTACAAATGTTTCTTGAAAAATTTTTCATATTTGTCTATGACCAATATGGCGAATTTTAACATAAGATTTACAATAACTTCCTGGCTCAAATTCTACTAACATACATTTAAATACAATACAGAATGCTCAGCAATTTCAATAATAAGGAAATCATTTATAATCCAGGAATATATGTATGGACCAACAGCTTGGTAATTTACATGTCTTATAATAATAATATAATCAGTGAGTATTATTTGAAACAAAATATACCACTGTAGTAAAAAATAATAACAAAAATATACATACTTATTCTCTAAAAGATAAATTTAAGATATTTTTAGTAGAGAATTAATCTTTTTTCTATTAGTTAGGGAGTTCATAAAAACGAACCAATCGTCCAATCTAAATAAAAATGACAAAAAACACTTAGCACACAATTAATTTGGTAAGAAATAATTAAGCTTAACTCAACAAACAATCTGCCTACTTTGTGAAAGTCTCCTTTTGCTATACCAACTTGAACTTGAAATGACAAAGAGTGACAGGCAAGTATCCAGATGCTCACACCAACTATTATTCTGATTACAGAGACGATTCCAGAGCCATATATCACAAAATATTTTTTGAAAGTTAGTTTTTGATCCAACACTGAATATTTTTCGGACAATGCTAATAACAACATATATATTTTCAAATTGAAAGATGCAAACAACATTCGTGGTCAAACATTGGTTTGGAAATGTTCAAAAAATAATATTTTCTGACTAGGTACATAGTCAGATTTTTTTTGTGAAAATTTTTTAGACATTCTTAAAACATTTAGTCTTGCTGACAAAGGGCTGATGCATGCAGCGGTTTTCTCAAGGTTGGTACAGCTGCTGTCAGCTGAGTGATCCAATATTCATCAGCATTGTCAATTACTGAGATTTGTCACAAATTTGTTACCTTTTGCGTCTGGAGCGACTTTCGACAAATCAAAAATATATAATATTAACAAATCAGGGAAGAAATCTTTTTCAATTTTGGAAGTTTTATTATTTGTGACAACTGAACAGATACATAGATTACATATAGCAATTTTTTTAATGGAAAATTAAATAAACAAGAATGAATGGCATTCATGATATGAGATTCTGAGGAACGGTTGGAACAAAGCTATGGTATATATATGAGAACTGGGCCGACATTTGAAACTATATTATTGAAAAATAATTGCCATGGCATGGTTACAAGAAAAAAATTCTTACTGGAGAGTATGTGGCTTTTATAATATGAATTAATATAATACACAAGTAAACAAGTCACCTTCCAAAGCTAGCAAATTAAATTCGTTTTGTTATACCCCCATAGTGAATAACCAAGAAGAAATACGGAATTAGTTAGACAACCCACTTTATCTATTATCAAAGCCACATTCCTAACAAAACACTTTGGTCAAGACTTTTTTGTGAGCCTAAAACAAATACATTAATTTCTAAAGAAGTTATATACCAGACTAAAATCTACATAGATTATTTCAAATATTTCAACTACCGAATATGCTATATGCCTTAATATATATCAGAGTATTCAAGCTAATTCAACATCTGGTCTCATAGAGGCCGCTTCTTCCAATATACCGCACCCATTTAATGACATCATGGTCCGAATAGTTGAGTTTTGGCTCAAACACTTTCAAATAGCGCACCTTGAAGCCAGATGGTGCAAATGGCACCTCAAAGTTCATGGAAATTGGTGGACGAGTCCATTTCTTTTTCGTGTCTGTCTCTAGTAGTTCAATTTCAGCCGAGAGTTGAGTTTCTTTCATACCAGCCATACGCTTAATCCTAGAAAAATCATAAATAATAATAGTTCAAGTCAAAAATTGGCGTTTTTTTACTTACTTCCATACTATTGCGTTTTCTGACGCCTTGTACTTGGCTTTGCCTTTTAGACAAATCAGCTGGACACCGGAAGTGTTTAAGGGTGTGGGAATCTTTACTTCAATTTTCTGACCCAGCAATGAAGGTTTGAAGTTACTCTTCAAGACCACTTTCACTTCCATTTTTGTGCGGCCCACTTCTCGGACTAATGGGATTACTCTAAATGGTAAAGATATGTCCTTAGTAGTCCGGTATCTAAAAAACAAATATTAATATAAATAAATAGAAAGTAAGTAATAAATATAAGGTGTTTTGCCAATTTTCAATGTTTCATGTCTTATACAAGGTATCCTAAGTTCACTAATGTACCTTTTCTGTTTATTTTTTTTTTGGGACAGCCAAATAAAACACATAGGTAAATAAAGACAGACGCTCACTGGAGCGCAGCGCACGGAAGCGCGGCGTAGAGCACTTTTAATAATACATTGTTTTAAATGAGAGTATGCCGATCGGTGCTCTTCCGACAAGTGAGTGTACTCCCGTTTAAAACAATGTATTTAAAAAGTCCTCTTCGCCGCGCTGTCGTGCGCTACGCTCTAGTGAGCGACAACCTTAAAGGAGTTATGGTAAAAGCCCAAAATCAATGTTGGTTTTAAGAGAAATCACCGTTTCGTACTCATTATTTCTCCAGGTTTATTTTACAATTTTTTTTCAAATCGAAGAAGCCTTATGGATTTGTATGAAATTAAATGTATTCTTTTCTGAAATTTTTAAAATCTATTAGGAAATAAAGCCACAATTATTATTGTAACAAGAAATTCGCATTTCTTGAATACTTTTGGGGTCATTTGTCACTCATTTGTCAAAATTGGCAAATGAAGTGTACAGAAAGGAAACAGCAGGTCTGTTTCCACAGAAATCACAAACTAGTCACAGCGTTTTTGATTGATCCAAATCGCCAACAACCAGTTTTCTGACTATTTCCAACCAATGAAATTCGCTCTGACTGGTTTGCGATTTCTGTAAAAACAGACTTTGTACCAGAATAGCATTTTATATCAAAATAAAAATTAATTGGGTTTTCCATCACAATCACCCCTGGCACTGGAAGTAACTTAAATATTAAAATTATCAGGAAAAGCTAATTATATTGTCTAGGGAATTTCTAAAATTCAATAAAGTGAAAAAAAAAAATATAGGTCGTGCCCACTTCCTGTATACAGAAAAAGAAATTCAATTCATAGTCACTTGTCAAAATTTACGAGTTTTATCATAAAAGCATAACAATAATTAATCTACAGCATAATTAGGCTGGAAAACATTGAACCATTATAGTAAAAAAAAAAAATCAATTGGTCAAAACTATTATAGAATTCCAGAAAAGTTGGATAAAAAAGTGCAAAAAAATAATGATTCAATAACTTACCTCATAAGTTCAAATTCGCCATCAGGTGGTATGAAGCTAATGGAATGTTCAGTTTCAAACTTACTAAGCTTGACACATTGATGAAATTGACAATCATCAATAACAACGACCGGTTTCCCTGATCTGGCTGGATCTGAGTCAGAAGTCGAGCCCAGACTTCCCTTGCCTTTCGCTTCCATCACTATCTTATCATTGATGCCAAACTTGCATTCTGGCATACCGGACAGATATGATTTCATTACAACTTTACCAGCTACATGAGCAGAGAGGACCTGACCTGGAAGAGAAATAGACTAGTCTCATCGTCTCATCAATGAAAACAAGACGAATTTTTTTACCTTGAGGGGACATCAACAAATTCACATACTCCAAAACGTCCAAAAACAGTTCATTTCGGCGATATTTGATGCCCTCTCTTCTCCATCCAATCTGGCCAGTTACCTGAGAAGTAATCTGAGCCTGTTCTTCTTTGGTAGCTGATTTTATGCCTTGCTGAGTAATAAAGGTTTTAAGAACACCAGTATCAGTATTTTGGGGATAACCAAAGTCAAGAATTTCTACAACAAAATTACAACGCTATTCAGCATTTTTGGATAATTTTTCAATGCAGGCTTACCATCTAACAGTTCATAGATGAGCACAAAATTATTTTTGATATTTTCCTCAGAGATTTTACCAAAATAGGATTGCATAACTTCAATGATTTTGAGTAGGAATTCAAATACCATGGCAGCGTTGACATTTTGTTTTGTTACAGCAGCAATCCAGATATTTGCTCTCTGAAACACGAAAAAAACCCTTACGTAAAAATAATACCAAGTATTTTTAGATAGAAAAACATGAGGTTAGTATAGGTGCATAAATCATTTGTATTTGGTGACATTTTTAAGGTCTCCACTGTCGAGGAATTACAATCCAAATTTTTTGAGCAGGAAAAATAAAAGTAATAAAAGTTTATTGCTAAACAAAATATGCATGACTTTCATTAGTCCATGCAATAGAGACCATATAGGGCATGGGAAAAATTCATTGGTAAAATTGGAAATAGCCTTAACTTTTAACTTGTCACCAATAATTTGCAGCCAAAAAGTCATACTTATGAGATTTTTATGTACGTAGCAATCTTTTATATATACAAACAAAAAACATCTGATCATCCAATAATTCAACCCAGGATAACGCATTGAATGCAGAGCAACTAGCAATAATCATTATTATCAGTTCAGCAACATTGAGCAGATCAACCTGTAAATAAACTGCTGGACAATTGCTTTCGAGCAGAAGGAAAAATTTGCCTAACTTTCAAGCTCGATATTTTTGAAACCAAAATATCGACCTCTGGTTTCCATATAGCATTTTTTTTCACAAAAAGTCAATCTGTCAGCCCGTAAAAACCGGAGGTCCATATTTGGTCTGGTTCCAAATATATTGAGATTGAAAATCAAGCAAAAATATTTTCTTGCTCGAAAGCAATTGTCCAGCAGTTTATATTGATTATGTTACATACATTTTTTTTCCATTCCTAAGTTAATCCTTCTATGTTGGTATCTCAGAAATTCAAAAGTGGCGTATCTCATAATCTCATGGTTTCCAGGCGATGTTTCAATAAGTTTATGTTCAACACATTAACTGTTATGGCAGATAGGTACTCAGGCAGTTATAGAGCATTTAGAAATAGAGTCAAATATGCTATTAGATGAGCCCCTATTAGGATTTTTTTTTTAATACCTTTTATTCAAACAAAATTTAATACAACAAAATGATATAAGCGCTGGCCTTGAAAATAAGAATGTAAACCAATACAGTATTTCAAGGGTAGTCAACCAATTTTCCAACAAAACTCTTACAGCTATCTAGATTTTCTATGGAATAAGGCAAATAATTAAATGTTTATGCATAGCAAAACTCAATTTTTATGTTACATTTCTGTTGATTATTGATAATTTTATAAACAAGTTTCTATTTTCAAATTTTTACTTGACCTAACTATTTAATTTCCAATTTGAATGAACTACGTTTTGGCTACTGAGCCCATAATTAAATAATATTTCAAGAATTTTGTTTTGCAATATTTGTGCTTTATGAAAATCTACATCCCCAGGGAGGCAAGAGATACCTAAAATGGGTCAAGAAAAAACGAATATAAACCTGAAATTTACTTTTCATAGACAAATATGTATAAATGCAACTGTTAATATTTATATGAACATCATTAAATTTATTTTTCTGCTTAAATACAATATATTTGGTTTTATCAATATTAATTTCTAATTTATTAGAAAACACTCATTTGAGATAAGTATTAAGATTGTATTTATTTGAATATTACGGGTAATTTCATCTGTTCCGGTGTATAACTGAAAAGTGTCTTCTGCAAAGGAGAAATGTCTTGCCTCTAGATTGGCACACTTGAGATTGAGCATAAAAAAGGAATACAGCAGAGGTCCAGGAACTGACCCCTGTGGCACCCTATAAGCACTACTTGTACCTTGAACTTGATCTTGAAGCAGAAGGTACTGATTTCTATCAAGTAAATATGTTTTAACCTGGGTTTTAACCTTGGTTTTAAACTAAGCTGTACATAACATCACCAAATCCCATAATCAGTAATTTACTCAACAAAACATCTATACTAAGCACGTCAAAAGCCTTTTTTAAGTCGACAAACACTGCTATAACTATTTGTCAAGCTATTTGTTTACTATCTAGAGCCTTTGAGATAATCTATGAAATTGACAGCAGCACTAAGTGTACTACTGTTTTCCATTAAGCCATATTGGAACTTATCAGTCAATAGGTAGGTATTAATAATGTATATAATAATAATAATAATAAGCCTTTATTTCCAACAGGAATAAACCCAATTACAGGAAAAAACACATACAATTTAAAGAAAAACTATATAGAAAATCGTGCACCACAGCACACTAAATTATAGATAAATAACAAAAACTGACCAAAAAATAATAATAATAATAATAATAATAATAAATGCAATAAACAAAAGAAAAACAAAAACATTTTTTTTTTCACCAATGCAAGAAACCTAAAGCTAATCAATCAATGGAAAGAGCACCAACAATCCGCGACAGCCTATCATGATTAATATCACATTCGCCCGACACAGTATTGTAAACAGCGCAGATTAGATACACTGGGCTCTGTGATAAGACGTTAGATCTAGCTGTGCAAAGATGAAATGTCCGACTATATCTGCCCCCAATGCGTGGAACATGAAACAACACCTGAGCGACTAGGTATGGGCAGTCTATAATATGATGCAAGAGATTATATAAAAACCTCACTGCCTGAACCTTTCTTCGGTCGGCCAAAGATTGAACGCTAAATCGCTCAAGTAGCAGATGATGATCCACGCCCCTTGGGGGGTAAACACTATCTACCTTAACTGCCAAATATTTAAGAAATAGTCTCTGGGCAGTTTCAATAGATTTAACACGACAATCATATATACGACTCCACACAATTGCACCATACTCAAGCTTTGACCTTACAAAAGCGTAATACAAAAGTTTAAAGGTGAATAGATTTGAAAAATGTCTGCTGTTTCTGAAAACAAAGCCAAGCGTCTTGAGGGCTGATGCACTTGTTGCGTCAACATGAGGTACAAAAGTTAAACGGCTATCGAATATCACTCCTAAATCCTTGATTTGATTGAGCCGAGCCAATATAGTACCTTCAATGGTATAGTCAAATACAACAGGAATTTTTTTTCTGTGGAAACTGATAATATTGCACTTCTCAACATTCAAAAGAAGCCTGTTTTCCTTGCACCAATCATTCAAAATATCCAGGCACGACTGTAACGTAATACAATCCTGGGTAGTAGTAACTGTGGCAAAAAGCTTAAGCTGCTAAATATAAAGTTAGCAGTGCAAAGTCAGCAGTGCAAAATTTTTATGACTGGATAAATTAGTGCTAATAACATGCCAAGTTCACAAATTGTGTGCTCTTGTAGTTTTCGAGATATGGCCTGCACTGCCAGCTTCCCGTTAAAGATAGCAGTGCACCATCCAAAAATGATCCAGAAAAGTGGTAGGGTGATATAAATGATGAAGAAAATTGAATGCTAATTAAATGCTACCATTTCCATGAACAAAATCTCTATTTTCAGCTTTTTTTCGAATATTTTCTAAAAACAACGCTGTGCACTGCTAGCTTTATGCAGTACACATATTGAATTTTCATGTAAGATGGGATTGGTAGAGTTTTCGACATTTGAATAATTTAGTGCTAATTAAGTGCTGATTAAATGCTAAGTTCACAAATTTTGTGCTCTTGTAGTTTCCGAGATATCGCCTGCACTGCTATACCCGTTAAAGATAGCAGTGCACCATCCAGGAATGATCCAGGAATGATCCAGGAGTGGTAGCGTGATATAAATTATGAAAAAAATTAAATGCTATTTAAATGCTATCATTTCCATTAACAAAATCTCTATTTTCAGCTTTTTTTCACACATTTTTTTAAAAACAACGCTGTGCACTGCTAGCTTTATGCAGTACACATAGTGAGTTTTCATGAAAGAAGGGATTGATAGAGTTTTCGACATCGGAATAATTTGGTGCTAATTAAATGCCAAGCTCACAGATTTTGTGCTCTTGTAGTTTCCGAGATATGGCCTGTACTGCTAGCTACCCGTTAAAGATAGCAGTGCACCATTCAGGAATAATCCAGGAAAGTGGTAGGGTGATATAAATGATGAAGAAAATTAAATGCTAATTAAATGCTACCATTTCCATGAACAAAATCTCTATTTTCAGCTTTTTTTCGAATATTTTCTAAAAGCAACGTGGTGCACTGCTAGCTTTATGCAATACACATATTGAGTTTTTATGAAAGAAGGGGTTGGTGGAGATTTCGACATTGGAATAATTTAGTGCTTATTAGGTGCTTATTAAATGCCAAGTTACCGATTTTTGTGCTCTTGTAGTTTCCGAAATGTGGGCCTGAACTGCTACCTCTGTTGAAGATAGCAGCTTACCATCCAGGAATGATCCAGGAAAATGGTAGGGTGATATAAGTTATATTAAAAATTAAATGCTACCATTTCCACGAGCATTTCCATAAACAAAATCTCTATTATCAGATTTTTTTCGAATATTTTTTAAAAATAACGCTGTGCACTGCTAGCTTTATGCAGTACGCATAATATTGAGTTTTCATGAAAGAAGGGATTGGTAAAGTTTTCGACATAGAAATAATTTAGTGTTAGTTAAGTGCTAATTAAATGCCAAGTTCAAAAATTTTGTGTTCTTGTAGTTTCCGAGATATGGCCTGCACTGCTAACTACCCGTTTAAGATAGCAGTGCACCATCCAGGAATGATCCAGGAAAGTGGTAGGGTAATATAAATGATGAAGAAAATTAAATGCTAATTAAATGCTACTATTTCCGTGAACAAAATTTCTATTTTCAGCTTTTTTTCGAATATTTTTCCAAAAACAATGTGGTGAATGCTATCTTTAACAGGTAGCTAGCAGTGCATGCCCGAGTGCATGCCACATCTCGGAAACTACAAGAGCACAAAATTTAGTAACTTGGCATTTCATTAGCACTTAATCAGCACTAACTTATTCCTATGTCGAAAACTCTATCAATCCCTTCTTTCATGAAAACTCAATATGTGTACTGCATAAAGCTAGCAGTGCACTACGTTGTTTTAAAAAAAAATATGCGAAAAAAAGCTGAAAATAGAAATTTTGTTCATGGAAATGGTAGCATTTAATTAGCATTCAATTTTCTTCATCATTTATATCACC